TAAACTTAAATCTAAAATAAATACATATATACATATATATACAGGGGGAGGGGGATAAGGGTTGTTATGTGGGAGCTCCGAGAGCCACCAATATTCCTTGAATTTAGTTATAGTCCATATGCAACACCTCCTCCCCTCGTGGTCACTAAGAGGTCGATGAAATTTTATTATTGGATTTCATGGTTTTAGGGGTAAGGAATCCGAATTTTCTGGTCATTTTTTCCTTCAGTCACGCAATAATTTATTATAAACAAATTAGTCTCCATTTTCAGTTAACAAATGGTTTTCCGCAAAAACCGGAAGAGATAGCAAAAAATGTTTCTAATAAAAGTTATTCCTCTTTTTCTTATGAACAGTACTTACGATTTTCAAAATTGGAAATCACTTCGGGTTGGAAAACACCCATAAAAATCGCAATGTACTGATTTTTTCCTGCAAAATATCTTCTCCTGAATACTTCTATTTACAAAAATGCGCAAGGAAGCTCATTTTAGCCGTCGATAATATAAGCTTTTCTCAATGAAGCAATCAATTGAAAGTACTGAAATTAAGTCATAAAATTACTTGAGATAAATTCAAAAATTAAACTAGTTAAATTAAATACTAATTAAATAACCGTCGTTATTAGCAATTAAAAAGCCATTCTGCGGCAAAAGCAAAGCGATTCTGAGTATTCTTGATGCTTTTTAATAGTCGTTATTAGTGATTTTATTACTAATTAAATTAAACTAATTTCTTCGCAGTGTTTCACACTTTAAAGCAGTGAAGCTACTTCCTCCCAGTACTATTTCTACTAGATCGGCAGAGGTGATACTTCACTCAATAATACAAAATGTACTTGGGACAAGTATTTTTTGATCTTTGCATAAATGAACTTCCCCCAAGTACCAGTCGGTACTGGTAAAAAGTATCTTTTTCTTTGGGTGCATTGGATAGGTTTTCAAACGAATAATAATTTATGTTTTTTCTTTCAAGAGTTATTTTTCAACGGTGTACTGTACGGAGTATTGAACATCATGTGATCATTTTCGGCCAAGTGACGAATGACATTTTTTGTCATGAAGACCGTAGGCACACGGAGAAAGTAAAATAGTAAATATTACGATGTCAGAATCCGGACATAGTAAGCACTAACATGGACATGATAATGGCTATCATGGACATGGTAATGGCTACCATGGAACATCGTAATGGTTACTATGGGGCATGGTAAGTTCCTCAATGGTAAAAGGTACTATGGACATAGTAATAATTACTATGTTACACAGTAACATTTACTATTTTACATAGTAAGCTCTACTATGTTACATAGTAAGCTCTACTATGTTACATAGTAAACTTTACTATGTTAACATAGTAAATGTTACTATGTTACATAGTAGAGCTTCCTATGTTAGGTAAAATATCCTGTAACACATAATGAATATTATCTAAGTAAGTAAATACCTTTAAGGAATGAAACATGAGTAGATTATAGTTATAACGTACAATATTTTTAATAAAAGTAGAATTTGTTTGAAAATATTTGTTTTCGAGGGGTGGGATGTTTTTAATTAATGTTTGTAACATTAAATAATTCTGTACTATAAAAATTGAAAAACAATTTCTTTATTAAGTACGCTGTTTCACAACAACTGCAAAAGTATTGAATTACAAAGTATTAATTTAACTTAATCCTAATTTCTCCCATGATTATTTTTATAATCAATAATTCAAAGAGATATTCATATTTAAATTATTTTAGTACATTAAAGAGCATATGTGCAACAATTTAAACCCAATGTTTTGGAACATATTTATTGCCATTCCCAGAAATTGCTACGTATGATAAAGAACAAAATTTGATGTCGTGATAGGTCAACGTAGACCATCTCGTCTGATTCATATCAATTTGATATGCTTGAAAATGGTTATCAAAAAAATATTCTTCCAGTTGGTGAGTTACGAGAATAACTAGGTGTTGGTCATCAGATAATACAATTTTTACCAAATGTAATTGAGGCCCGGCCTCTGTAGGCATTATCAAAACGACATCCGTCGTAATGTCATGTCCCATGTATGAAAAATTTCTGATGATTTTGATATTTGAAGGCCTGAAAACATCTGAAATTATCAATTTTTTCAGAATCTTAAGGGGAAACCGTACTGAAATTCCCAAATCGAAGAGGCCTTTATTTATTGTACTAATGAATTTATTACTTCAATTTTAATCCAAAAAAATGAGAAAAAATTAGGTTTTAATTTCTTCTATTGAGAGAATCTTCAAAAGTGTCCTCATGACGCGATTCTCAATCAGTTGACTTGAATTTTATTTTACACATTCAGAATATATGCGCAAATAAAACAGAATGAGGCTTTTTAAAAATCAATTTTTGGGTTTTTGAATTTTTTTTCCAAAATTGATACAGGCGAAAAATCTGAAAAATTGTTCAAATTGAAATACATAGTAAATCATTGGAGTATGAATTTTTCAAATTTTTCCATCATTTTCCTCATTATATTTTAAATAACTAGTTCGAAACAGCTGATAAAATTCGTACTTCACTGATTTATCATGTAGGTGAATATTACTAACTTTTCAAATTTTTGGCCTCAACCAATTTTGAGAAAAAAATTTAAAAAATGAAAAAATAGACATTTTTAAAGAAGCTCATTCATATTTGTGTACATATTATGGATGTGTGAACGAAAATTCCAGTCAATCGGTTGATAATTGTTTTATGAGGACACTTTTGCTAATTTTCATCGTCTAACGCCTCTTTCTTCTTCATAAACAGATAAGGGGATAGATGAAGGCATCGCCGATTTCAAAAATTCGGGGCGGTCTCCCCTTAAGAACCATATTTTTGAATTGAAAGAATAACACTCTCAATTAATAAATTATCGTTAATCGTTATACTTATCGTATAATTATCGTGTTTCATTGTTTTTTACATATTCACTAGGATATCGATCAATGTTATCGAAACGGATGAGTTACAAATGAGAAAAAATTATTTCTGATAATAAGTCGTTGAATCTGATAATTTTTCACAACTTTCAATTCTCTTTCTACGTCATTATTATATATATTCAATGAAACCAAACAAATATACTTACCGTAGTTCCAAGAGCGCTTGAGTCTTCTGTCATATTGTCCATGACCGCTTCTGTGCACTGTTCATCGACTACTGAGCACACAGCCTTAAGCGTCATGCGTTTACGCATCAAGAGACAATGGAAAATGTCAACTGTGTATTTTAGGAATACTTTTTATGCTCATAGGACTATTTTCCATTCGCATAGTAATCATTACCATGGGACATAGTAAGCATTACCATGTGACATAGTAAGCATTACCATGTGACATAGTAAGCATTACTATGTGACATAGTAAGCATTACTATGTGACATAGTAAGCATTACTATGTGACATAGTAAGCATTACCATGTGACATAGTAAGCATTACCATGTGACATAGTAAGCATTACCATGTGACATAGTAAGCATTACTATGTGACATAGTAAGCATTACTATGTGACATAGTAAGCATTACTATGTGACATAGTAAGCATTACCATGTGACATAGTAAGCATTACCATGTGACATAGTAAGCATTACCATGTGACATAGTAAGCATTACTATGTGACATAGTAAGCATTACTATGTGACATAGTAAGCATTACTATGTGACATAGTAAGCATTACCATGTGACATAGTAACCATTACCATGTAACACAGTAACCATTATCATGTGACATAGTAACGATTACCATGTGACATGGTCAGTATTACCTTGTGACCATGGTAAGCATTACCATGTGATATGGTAAGCATTACCGTGGGACATAGTAAGGATTACTATGTAGGGTCAGTTGAAAATCCTTTTACTATGTTGCCATAGTAATCCCTACCATGGCCATGGTAATATTTACTATTTAATTCTCTCCGTGCAGGGATTTACAGGCGCGTAGCATCCGTTAAGCGCTGCCGTCTTTCCGGGATGACTAAAAAAAAATTTCTAACTCATATTCGCCAAAACAGTTTTTTCATCACGCTGTGTGTAAAGTGCCATTTTACGCACGCTCCGCGTGCGCAAACCCCCACTTCCCACAGATTGTGATGGAAAATAGAGTTCGATACTCGCGGAAAAAGTGTTTTTAGACTCGTGGGATTGTATCACTCGCCCACCTTCGGCTCGTGCTATAAACCTCCCACGAGCCCAAAAACACTTTCCCGCAATCGTATCGAAATATACTATTTCATCACGCCGTGCGAAAAAGTAACTTTATGCCACTCATGCCTGAAACCGGCTGGATTACACACTCGACGCTTCGCTCACTCGCCTTCGGCTCATGCTGTAAACCCCACACACGTTAAAGACGATATTGCCCCACATGTACTGAAATATCCTATTTTAGGCACACTTAGCGTGCCTCAAACAGCTCTTTTTGACACATTGTGATGAAATATATCGTTCGATACTCATGGGAAAAGTGCCACGAGCCAAAAAACACTTTTTCCATGAGTATCGAACGATATTTCTCACCATAATGTGTGGAAAAGGGACGTTTTAGGCACGCGAAGCGTGCCTAAATAGTTACTTTTTCGCACAGCGTGATGAAAATAAAATTACAGGTTTTTACACTCGAGAATTATTTTATAAAAGTGAATAAAATAATTAAGTAGATGCGGTACCGGCCACCGATCATTATGTGGTCATTTTAAGTCTTGAACCTCACAATCTCCGTTTTGGACCCCTGGAATTACCATAAAAGGAATTGAATTGAGTGCCGCGAGCCTTCCTCGCCCTCTGCATATTTCCCCTGTCTCTGAGGAACTTGTCGTATTTCCCCATCTGAATCGCCTCATTGGCTCTCTCACAACTATCTCCATTGCTCATTGCTCCCTTTAAATCCTCCCGCCTTTTCACGCCAATGAAACCCGCCAATTTGCGGATCCAAGGGAAATACTATGACAATCCAATTGAGGCGACATCTTGGAGCATTGTGAACGTCTCGTGCATCGCTACAACATTTTTCACATCATAAAAATCATCATCCCGGTATTCTCCAACGTTGATCGAATAAATAGTGTAGAAATAAAACATTTACAATGGTAATATCACTATTTGGAGCTTCAACTATCAATTTTTTAATCCGAAAAAAGGGAAAATTCAGTGTTTGTGTGAATCCGAGTAATTTTTGGTCAATCGCCGGTGATAAATGTGACAAATGGCGCACGTGTGTCATGTGAAATGATACCACACCTCCAAAATTTATTTTGATTAACTAAAATTCATCATTTGACTGTCAAAAAAATTTCCTATTCGACTGAATATATAATCATCATTCCATGTTCCCCAAATAATTAATTTTTATGGGTTTTTCTAACTTACTTTTTGGAGTGAATCAATGCTCTCCAGTCACTCACCTCCAGTCCCTAATTTGGAGAATTAATTTGTCTTCAGGTGTCCCTGAACCCCGTGAGAATTCTGAAGAATGACGCTGAAGAGGAGAAATCAGAAATCGCTCGTCTGAGTCTCTTCGTGGGCGCGATTGCCATCGGAGACCTGGTGAAATCCACACTGGGTCCAAAAGGCATGGATAAGATTCTTGTCGCCCATGGACGCAGTGCAGGACAGGTTCAGGTTACCAACGATGGTGCCACCATCCTCAAAAGCGTGGGTGTTGACAACCCAGCAGCGAAAATTCTTGTGGACATGTCTAAGGTTCAGGATGATGAAGTTGGAGACGGTACCACCTCGGTTACTGTTCTGGGTGAGTATCATAACCTCCAAAGCTCATTAGAGACACAATGGAAACTTTTGACTTTTTTGCTTCCGGATGGAAGCTTTGTAGAATAAACAGGTAAATTTCTGGACGGGGGTTAGTTTCTGGATGATTTCAACTTCCATTGAATATTGGATAAATAATAAAATGAAAATTGTACTGACCATTTCCCCCTTCGTATATATTACTCGTGTATAATGATGTGATCATTTATTTTTTCTATAATCGACATTTAGCGATTAAAAAAATATAGCCCAGTCGTCTAGAAATTAGGGGTTTCGGCTGAATTTAACTATTTCTTAATTTAACTATTCTTTGTTTCATTATTTTGGAAAATAATTTTTTTCTGCTACTTAAAACCTTCTTGAAGGGAAGGTAAATGACCCTACGCTCGTCCACCTGAGGTGAACACATCATTAGCCCAATATTTCTATCGAAATGAGCGTGAAGTTGTGATGGTTTAAATTAGATATCAGTGAGGAAAACCTTCGGAATTGGAATTCACTTATATTAATTACGATAATTACTATTTTTTTAATAAATAATCGTTTTTAAATGTGGAAAATCCCACGTCCCTACGGTCCTTCACTTGTCCCCATGCACGTTTGACGCATGTCCCTATTCTCGTCTCGTGATTTGAGTTATATGGAAAGGATATATCCGAACTAATTACATCGTAAGTATCCTATTTTACGTACGCACATACATACATACGTACGGACACGGTCTAAAAAGTGGATTTTCGGACTTTTTGGATCATAATGGGTCGATATAACACTAAAAATCCGAAACGTAAATTCGAACGACTACATTGCTTCCATTCGGAAGCAACAAAATAGTTTTCATTTCATTTCGGAAAACAGAAATAAAAGGTCAGGAGAACCACCATGTGGGCGTTTTGAAAAAGAAACGCAACATCACTGTAAAAAACAAAAAAAAACTCTTTTTATTAAAAAAAAGCGCAAAGGAAAAGTTTTGTTTGATTGTTACTGAACAGTAGAAATTTTTGAAAAATACAAAGAAATGAAAAAACACCAAGTCAGAAATGTCAAATGAATGGCTATAGAAGACAATCAGATGTCTATGAGAAAAGTATATCTAAATCGAATAAAGATTAGAGCAAAATTCTCTATGAAATAAAAAATCAGTATGTTAAAGCAGGACTAACGTCGTTGGCTTGGCAGTGAGTTGAAAAACTCTATCTATCTAGTCATCTATGTTCTGATCCGAGCCAAAGACGTTGCTCCTACTTCTACTGATTTTTTATTTTATATATCCCCCATCAAAAAATATATAAAAAAATATATAAACTATATATTTTATCCATTTTTTTTATATTAATTAGGTCAATTTAAGATATTTTTTAATATAATTTTCAAAATATAAATTTTTCCGTGTGGGCATACATCCGGACATGGTTTAAAAATAGTATAATCGAACTGCTGAAGCCAACATTAGTTATCCTGACATGAAACATTAGAAATTTCGAATTTGGCGATTACAATGTTTCCATTCAGAAGCAAAAAATAATCTTATCAAAAAACTTGTCGTATTCTCCTCCACAGCATCTGAATTACTGAAGGAGGCGGAGCACCTGGTCGAACAGAAGATCCACCCTCAGACAATAATAGAAGGATGGCGTCGTGCAGCGAATGTAGCACGTGAGGCCCTCCAGAACGCAGCCTCCGACCACTCAGCAGACCCCAAGCGGTTCCGGGAGGACCTCCTGAACATCGCGAGGACGACCCTAAGCTCGAAGATCCTCTCCCAGTATAAGGAACACTTCAGTGAACTCGCGGTTGACGCTGTCCTCCGTCTTAAGGGATCTGGAAACCTCTCAGCCATTCAGATAATAAAAATTCGAGGTGCCACCCTCGGCAACTCCTTCCTGGACTCTGGCTTCTTGCTGGACAAGAAACCCGGTGTCCACCAGCCACAGAGGATCACTGACGCGAAGATCCTCATCGCCAATACTCCCATGGACACTGACAAAATCAAAGTGTTTGGATCTAGAGTCAGGGTGGACTCGATGGCGAAAATCGCTGAGCTCGAGGTGGCTGAGAAGGAGAAGATGAAGGACAAGGTGGAGAAGATTGTCAAACACGGATGCAACGTCTTTATTAACAGACAATTGATCTACAATTACCCGGAACAACTCTTCGCTGATGCTGGTGTTATGGCTATTGAGCACGCTGACTTCGATGGAATTGAGAGACTCGCGCTCGTTACTGGAGGAGAGATTGTCAGTACTTTCGATCAACCTGAACTGGTTAAACTTGGAAAGTGCGATTTGATTGAACAGGTAGGTGACAAAGTGTTAATTCAGTAGGGAAGCGGTAAAACGGTTCAATTCGCCTTAACCTTCGAAGAATATCTCCGAATTCAAGGAAGATGGCGAAAATTTTATGATAACCCCTAATTCGCTCTACAATGAAGATTATATTAAAAGATTATATTAAAAATTTTGCTATTTTCCTTAGATTTCGAGATCTGTATTAAAAACTGATTGATTTCTGGTGATGAAAATTTGATACTCGAAAATAAGACTCCAAAAGTAAGGGTCAAGAACTAAGGGTAACAAGATCGAATCAGAATAAGGGTAATCCCTGGCGGATCTGTCGATTGTAGAATCGAGTTGATCAGTATATCGATTCGTATGCGAGTGTAGTTCGATCCAGATCTCAGATTATTGATGAAATCGAAGATGAATCGACTTCATAGGAAGTCGATAGCTAGTGAATTTCGAATGACAAAAATTTATTGCATCAAAACTTGAACGACTCATGGGGTGGTCGATTATGAAATACTCCTTACGGTCGGACCAGGATCGACTTGAAGGAAGTCGATTGTGACTCGATTGCCCGCATATTATTCACATCAATCGGCCCACAATCGATCAGTTGTTGAGTCGTTTCATATAAGTGAATAATATGAAGTCAATCGAGTAATAATCCACTCAAGGATCAGTCGATTCGCCCACTGGAATTATGAAAACTATTATGAAACGACTAAACAACTGATTGATTATGGGTCGATTGACTTGAATAATGAGGACAATCGAGCTACCATCGACTTGGCAGCGAGTCGATTCATTTACTAAGTATAAGAAGCTAATATGAAACGACTGAATAACTTATTGTCGATTGTGGGTCGATTGACTTGAATAATAAGGACAATCGAGTCAATCGACTTTCTTCAAGTCGATCCTGGTTCGCATGAGTCGTTCAAGTTTTGGTGCAATAAATTTTTGCCATTCGAAATTCACTAGTTATCGATTTCCATGAAGTCGATTCATCTTCGATTCCATCAATAATCTGAGATCTGAATCGAACTACACTCGCATACGAATCGATATACTGATCAACTCGATTCTACAATCGACAGTCGATCGAATCTCAATCGGGGGATCCGCCAGGGATGGGGGTCATATGAGGGTTGGCAATCGGAGTAAGCAGGGAGCGTAGCCCCTTAGTCGAAATATACTATTTCTGTAGTCTATACCTATGTATATGTATAGTTATGTAATGGGTAATTATTACCCATTACAACAACAGGGATATCATTCATGAGGAATGAATGTATTTTTTGTAGAAAAAAAAGGTTTCACTGTACAACCACAACCCCTACTTTGGAATCATTTCATATATTATTATGGATGTTTACGTAGATGTACGGGTCTTCCCATCCGACACCTCCCTGAGGGGAGGCTCCCTCCATAAGGCAAAGTTATCATTTATCATATTTAGGTATCAAATTAAATTCAAAACGGTGGTAAGGCGGATACATCTGGCCCTACCAGCGTTCAGTGTTACCCAGGGTTCGCGACGTGGACGCAGCTGATATGAACCCCAAAAAGGCCCACATCATAAAAATTCAAAGACGGTATATGAGTTTGAAAATTAAATAATAAAATACTAGGGGATTATAATATTTGTGGCCGCTGTTGTATACTGAACGCAAAACAACTAAATGCCCGATGGGTATATTTAAATGAAATGACAGAGAACTAGAGTTTGTTCTCTGATTCTCAGTGCAATTTCACTGGAATCCAGTACTTTTTGTCTCGGCATTTCACTTCCACAATACTGAAATTGTACTAGAAGCCGGAAACTTTTGATCTTCGTGCAGTTCATGATCTTTTTTCCGCCTTCTAGATAATGATCGGTGAAAATACACTTCTCCGTTTCTCCGGAGTACCCCTCGGTGAGGCTTGCACGGTAGTAATCCGTGGAGCCACTCAGCAGATTCTGGACGAGGCCGAGCGGTCCCTGCACGATGCCCTCTGCGTCCTGGCAGCAACTGTCCGAGAATCGAGGATAGTTTATGGAGGTGGTTGCAGCGAGATGATCATGGCCTGCGCTGTCATGAAGGCAGCAGCTTCAACGCCCGGCAAAGAGGCAGTCGCCATGGAGGCCTTCTCCAGGGCTCTCCAGCAGTTGCCCACCATAATCGCTGATAACGCTGGCTACGACTCGGCACAGCTCGTCAGTGAGCTCAGGGCTGCTCACAACTCTGGAGTCTGCACTGTCGGTCTTGACATGGAGAATGGCAAAGTTGCCTGCATGACAAAGCTCGGGATCACTGAATCTTGGGCGGTCAAGAGGCAGGTGCTTCTCAGTGCTGCAGAGGCTGCTGAGATGATCCTTCGTGTCGACAACATCCTGCGATCAGCTCCACGAAAACGCGTCCAAGATCGTGGACACTGTTAATTCATTAAATTAAAAATGAAGCGACTATTCATTTATTCTCACTCATTGCATTGTTAAGTTGCCTAAGCTGCTTTTCCGTTGGAAGATTCTTGTGTAAACTCAAGTCATGCTCCTAGCATAATCGATGAGGGTCGAGTATTTTTACATTAATTCACTAATACTAAATAAGTATGAGTACGAATTTGAAATGAACACGATGAAAAACTGAAGTATTGGAGGAATGAGAAAATTATTGGTGAACACATTTTCATTTTTTTAATAACAGGTACCATTTTTACATGAATAAATGCCTCAAATAGTACATTATACTCTATTTATTTACAAGATAATTGTAAACCTTGCTGTTTAACTACATCGTTCTGGAGCGATAAATTGAAGAAAATAATTGGGAAGAGTTACTTTCATGTCAAAGAAAATATAAACTTTAATTTTCTAATTGACCCTGTCAACTGTCAAAACTAAAAATAACTGAAACAAAGTTATTGGTTGATGTGATGTGGAGATACTGTCATTACTTTAGACTGAACTGAAGTTAGTTAATAAAATTAAAAAAGTGTGATTGATTGAACAGGTAGGTGACTACTATTTAAATTGAATGAAGATGGCAAAATTGATTACATGACAAAACTCAGATTCACTGAAACTTGAGCGATGAAGAGGCGATGAAGTGCTCCTCAGTGCTGCAGAGGCTGCAGAGGCTGCAGAGGTGATCCTTCGTGTCGACAACATCCTGCGATCAGCTCCACGAAAACCCGACCGAGATCGTGGACACTGTTAATTCATCGAATTAAAAACAAAACGACCATTCATTTATTCTCACTCATTGCATTGTTAAGTTGCCTGAGCTGCTTTTCCGTTGGAAGATTCTTGTGTAAACTCAAGTCATGTTCCTAACATAATCGATGAGGGTCGAGTATTTTTGCATTAAATCACTAATACTAAATAAGTATGAGTATGAATTTCAAATGAACAAGATGAGAAATTTCGAAATAATGAAGGACTGAATAAATGCCTCAAATAGTACGTTATTCTCTATTTATTTACAAGATAATTTTAGACCTTGTCTTTTTAACTACATCGCTCGGCTCTGGAGCGACAAATTGGCCGAAATAATATTGAAAAATCGCGTTTCAAGAAAGAGGAACAATAAAATTCAATTTTCTAATTGATCCTGGAAAATATCAGAATTATAAATAATAAAAAAAGAATCAATTTATAAAATAAACATGTAGACGTATTCTTAATTCAGAATTGGAAAAAAATGTGAATGTGGGAACAGAATGACTCCAACTGCCCGAATATCAAGAATGATTAATAGGCGAATCTCAGCTTCGTGTCATATCCCAATTTATCGAGATTCGGTGTGCAGGCAAAGTTGATCATTGGGGGTGGTCCACACATGAGGACAATTGTGTCAGATGCAGGTGGGAACGTGTGCTCCTTGATCATGTCTGCATTCACGTGTCCAGTGGAGTATTTCCAGCCTTCCCCGCTCGTATCCAGAGTGAACCACAATTTGAACTGGTCTGCGTGCTTCTTGGCAAGTCCCTCGAGCTCCTCACGGAGGAGAATGTCCTTTTCCGTTTGGTTTGCGAAGAGAAGGGATACTTGGGTGCGATCCTCCGGATCTTTTGTGATTTGACGGATTAGTTGGAGCATCGGGGTTATTCCGGTACCTCCAGCTATCATAACAGCCTAAAACAATGATCAAGTGATTATACATAACATCTTTATTGTTATTATTATGCACAAAAATTCATAACATCTCTAATTATACATTAATTATTACATAATATTAATCCGATCAAATTTTTAGTCTCCAATTCTCAATTTCTGTCATTTTTTCTATTCATTCTATGAAAAGACAAGGATAGAAATCGAATGTATGGGTATTCTTCCATTATTCGAGAAAATATATCGATTTCAAAACTTTTCGAAGACATTGAGAATTTTTTTTTATTTCTTACCGCCTACGTCTTTTTGCATTTTTTCATTTCTTCTGGTTGAAATTAGACCATAAAATTAAAAAATGTTTATATCCCACCCATATTCGAAGAAAAAACAGTGACTCCCAGTTTCCATCGACAGAAATGAAGAACACAAGTTTTCTCCATTTTCTAGCCGGTCATCGCTTTTAAAAAATTTTCAGTCTCCAATTGGTGATGTTTGCAATTCATTGCCATTTATGTAATTTTATTCATTCGATTAAAAGACAAGAAAAGAAATCGATTATTTCGATGAGGAATTTATGGGTATTCTTTCATTATTCGAAAAAAAAATAGATTTTAAAACTTTTCGGAGACATTGAAAAATTAATTTTTTTTTAGTTTTTCCCGCCCACTTTTTTGCATTTTTTTTTAATTTCCCTCTAATACTTGAAAAGAAAAGTGATTCGAAGTTCCCGCCGACATAAAAAAAAGTCCATGTTCTAGCCAATTATACGTTTCTGATTCTTTTTTCATTTCCTTTTCATAATAACAATTGGACTTCGACCATAGGAATGCGGAGTACCGATATCCTTTTACCATATGAAGGGAAAAATGGATTAAAAAAATTTTCAGGAATACATAGAGAGATTTTTCTATTACCCGAATGAGATTTCGAAAGACTTGTTTTGCGTGTTTGTTTTGATCACAAAAAAACACTTTATTGATTTCTAACATAATTTCTCTTCATCCAATGTTGTAACTTGTGAATTAAAGAAAAATATATATAATAAGAATAAGAATGGATAAAATTAAATTAATCTAAAGGTGAAGACAGAAATGAAAAACAAATTAAATAGTATAAATTAATCTAGCGACGGGCGGGAAGCGCCCGTTCCCTAGTTTATTATATATTCATAGTCTCAATACCCTTGTTTATAAACAAAAATATCAAACATTGAAGTGGATCACAAACATTGCGCTTTGCCCCATTCTCCTCCAGATAGAAGGCATTTTATTTCCGGTATTGGACTATAAAATACCCTAAAGTGTTATCAACTGCAAAAAGGCTCTCGTGACTTTTTCTGCGGAACAAAATTGATGGATAATAATAATTCATTGTTTTTATAAACACATTTGTGTGTTCATCAAATTATCCTTATGAAGAGAAGTAGTTCTAGGGATAAATTCCCAGACAGATTCTTTTTTCTCAATTGTCTCAAATATAGAAAAAGTCTCGAAATTTCCAAGATCACAACGATTGATCAATTTTTTAAATAAAAAACCATAGTTTATTGTGTTTCATTATCAAATTCGTGTATTGATCGAATTATCTTGGTAACGATGAATAGTTCTAGAGAGAAATGCCCAGATGAACTTTTTTTCTTTAGTTCTCTAAAATACAAAAATGTTTTCCACATATTTTCAAAATGATAATGATTTATATTTTCTTTATGGCATTGTACTTTTACTCCTCAAATAAATTGATGGATAACGATAGTTCAGTCCTTTTATAATCACATTTGCGTGTTCATGGAATTATCTCGATAAAGAGGTAGTATACAGTTTTTCAACTATGAAATTACCATGTTAAGGGTCTTTTTAGACGGAAAAAAATATCGAGGGACACTTTTTGATTGAAGTTTCGGAGACATTTTCTCCTAACACTAATCGTTGCTGAGATGAATGAATAATTAATCCTCATAAATGAAAATACCTTTTTAACATGATGTTCAACTGGAGGTTCCTTCCTCAACATCCGAATGGTGAAATTCCCCCTGCCTTTATAAACCAGACGGCCTGAAGGTCCTTTAACTGCAATCGTGTCTCCAATTTTCATGGATTCGAGGTGCTGAGAGAGTTTACCACCCTCCGGGAATTTCGGGTGAACATTTTTGAAATAGACCTGTGCGAAAAAAATGATCTCAATGAATAAAAATTGATTGTAAACCACGGATAAGGTTTAGAGAGTGCTTCAAATAAACTCTCCTCCCTACCTTTACGACCAGGTCAACGAAACCGTGATCATCGTCACTGCTGACTGGGGTGTAAGCCCTGATGACAAGTTCCCCATTAATATCAGCAGTGAGATGGATGTGCTGACCTGTTGGCAGTCCAAGCACATGCTCGGGCGTTGGCAAGCCTAGCCTGAACCTCCTAGTGTCGTGACTAATGACTTCTTTCTCGATAAGAGGGAGATTGTATTTAGCTAATGGGTTTTCTAGTAAAATTGGAGACTTCCTTCTCTTGTTCTTCTTCCATGTTAGAAAGTATTGAACGGCTACTCCTACTGCTACCACGGTTCCAACTGCAGCCAGCACAGTGAGAACCTTCAAAATAATTAAAGAATAATTTCTAGTCGATTATGGAACTAATTAATTCGACAATGAACTGGATAAGGATATCCAAGTACTTTGGCTATTTTTTCTTCAGTGAAGTGCTTTTCTAAGTTTCTAGCCGAACATCAGAGCCTTTATTTGAACCCCAGTTGACTCTAAGTTTCCGGACATTTTTCGATGATTTTATCACTTAAACTTTACAGGTGTGAATTTGAATCTCGATATTGAACCGTTAGAAAACATTTTAAAAATCTGAAGAAAATTACAAAATTTCCTTTTTGAGGAAGATTGATGAAAATTTCAATTTTTTGAAATTACAAGGATTTCTATAAATAATTTATAAACAATTAATTTTTCATTATAAAAATAATGTTTTCAGTATTGAAACGAATTTATTCATACTCAGGATTTTATCAGGAATCGATTTCTTGCCTAAAACATGAGGTTTCCAAACGTTTCAAACAAATATAATTCTGTGCAAAATGTAATTTGAATGACGCTGAATATTCATGATTTTTTTCACATTTTTCTGATACAATGTAATTGACGAATTTTGTGACTGAAGATGATTAAATTTATAGGGTGGTCTGTATGAACCTGTAAAAGATACTTGGATATCCTTAAGGAGAGATCACGGGTTATTAAAGTGAGGATCACCATATGTTTCCCCCATATTCCATATATGCAAAAACCGATTATCAGTGCAAACAAATTCATCATTTATTGTCTAAAATGACATCGTCGAAAAAACGATCCAGTGTACTTAAATATTAAGATGGACAACTTTTTTCCCCAAAAACTTTTCAAAACATGTGCAGAAAAACCATTACAGATCACTTTGCCGTCGTTCAAGGATTACGTAAGCAAATTTGTACAATTTTGACCCCTGTATATTCCCGATATTGATAACACATATGTAATGTCAGAAATCCTGGATCTCCCCAGCCCCAACTATGTTTACGTAATACTTGAATGCCCCCTTTTTCGATATTCGAAATCTTAATCAGTATAAAGATTGCTTATGTTCAGTGAATTTTTTCCATATAAAAACAGAAAATTCGCTATTGAAGAGCCAAATATCGAAAAAGTGATTTGTAATTGTTCCTCTGCATATTTTTTCAAAAATTCTGTGAAAAAAAAACTAGTTTATCTCAAAAATTTGGTACGTTAAAATGTGTTTTCGATTAAATCATTTTCGGGTTCTGCACGGCTAACGGACGATAACCAATAAGTTTTTTCACACTAGTGAACAATGTATGAACATATGGAATATGGGGAAAATATGCAATAACTCGTGATGTTCAAAACTCACTTGAGTCTCCTCGTAAACAAGATAGGTCAATTCAGGAGAAGTTGGATTGAATGAATATTTTTAAATCTTCGATAACTGGAGATTGGTAAAGAGAAATTTTTCAACCCTGCATAATTTCTAGCGTATTTAGCTTGCAATATAGCAACACGAACCGCACACGATCAAATTACTTTGGAAAACCTAGCGAATTCGTTGAAAAATTCTATTCAATTTCTATTGAAAATTCTGATTGTTTTCAGCGGATCCCATTCAAGAATTACGCAGGTTTTCTGCATATTTTTACCTCAACCAAACATCAGTAGCGAAGCGGTAAAACGGTTCAAGTTAACTTAACCCTTAGCTGAGTTTTCGAAAAATATCTCTGAGTCTAGAAGAGATAGCAAAATTTTCGTAATGATCTTTTTTGTAGAGCGAATTGAGGGCCACAAAAAATGGAATGATAAAAATGTTGCTATCTCCTTAAGATTTCGAGATATTCATTTAAAGAGACCCGTCCGATTGGTCCCATTACTATTGGTCTAAAGCAAATTGGTCCAATAGTACAATTCATTCAATAATAAATTAATCCAAAATTATAATTCGTCCAATAATAAACAAGTCCAACAGCACAATTTGGACAAACAGCCCTCTTTATAATAATTTTTAAAAAACTATCATTATAATTCCAAGTGCAATAGTAGTAATAATCCGAAATAAATCTGGCCAATAATTTTGTTATCGAAAACGAATTCGTCTTACGGTAGTATTGATCTAAAATGAATCGTCCAAAGTTTCCTGAAATCACATATTTTCTGGAAGAATTTCAAATTTTATAAATCACATGAACAAATGGGGGTATAATTCAGTAGCGAAGTGGTCAAACGGTATAAGTCAATTTCGACTATTGACCAATTTTCAATGAATATCTCGGAATCTAAAGGAGATAGCTAAATTTTGGTTATAACCTTTTTTGTGGAGCCAATTGAGTGCTACAACAAATGTAATTACGAAAATTTCTCGCTTAGATTCGGAAATATTCCTCAAAACTCAACTTGGAGATAAGTCGACTTAAACCCTTTTACCACTTCGCTACTGAATTAATCTTTTTATTTCAATTGTGTCTGTTTTATAGAAACATTGGATTATCAAAAGTACAAAACAAATGAAATGGTTGACAAGTATTCAATGTGGGTCAATCACACTTTTTTTTTTAATTTAAAAACAATCATGGTTTTGAATAATTAATTGAGAGATTAATTGATATAATTATTCGAGTGTTGACTTAGAATTATGACAGTTTTTTTGTGTTTGTTAATAATTATTGTAAAGACGGCTATTTGTCCAAATTGTGCTATTGAACCCATTTATTATTGGACGAATTACATTTTTGAGTCAATTTATTATTGGATAAATTGTACTATTGGACCAATAGTCAATAGACGAATAGTTTTGAGTTCAATCGTACCAGACCCTCATTGAAAACTGGCCCGTAGTCAAAATCGACTTGAATCGTTTTACCATTATGCTACTGAAATATTCAATAGACAATATTGAATAGAAAAAATCATTAGAATTTTATTTTGATCAATTTATTATATTGAGATATCTTCTATTGGAATTGTTCGGTTCAAATTTTCCCATTTTGCCTCTGAATGGAAGCTATGTAATCGTGCATTTTTACGATCTTCTAATTTATCTTAGAAATGATGTAGAATGTCATGAAATATCAAGATGTGTGGTAAATGTGCATGACATGTGACTCCACTTTAATTTTTATAAATTTGTAATCGTTAGATTCAGAATAATTTATACTTTTAAAAACTATTCACTAAAAAAGTCGCTGTCAAATAGTCTGGTGACAAAATGGACTAATGAGGTAGCGGAAATTATCAGTATTTTTGAAATTTAAATTATAATTTATAACTCTGAAATCTATGCATGAAACGTCTAATTTTTGAAATAACAAGGAGTATTGAATTAATACTCCAAAGTGAGAAACCAGTGGGTGCACCTCGAAATTCAGTCGATAGGGACCGTGTGTATTCGAGAAGAGTAGCGGGTACCTGTGCGATTGTCTTGGTGTTGACAGAAATTCGAAGAGATGCAAATCAATTTCGTATATATTTAATACGTTGCTAAAAGAAGGTGTAGCGGAGTTGGGTGTCTGCGGGAGCAGATGGAGTGTTGTTTTGTGTACTCGTCAAGAAGTCACACTGTGTTAAATTAAAAAGATCTTCGAAAAATTATCCCGAGTATCGTGTTGTGATGTGGGGTGTATTAGGTTCTTCGTTGAGGCCGATGCACCACTGCATCCACGTCGCGGCCTCGGGTAACGCGAAATGTGGTGATCTCAGTTGTTTCATTCTATTAAAAAAATTTGGTATTAGGATCGCAGTGTCCAAAGAAATAGGTTTCCGTGCATTATTGGGAAGTTTCTGGAAGGTCGGAGAGATGTTGTCAGACGATTGAGGTTTGAGTTTCTACAAGTCGACTTAGATGAGTTCTACTATCCACCTTTAGATTCTACAAATTATACTGGAAACGTTAGACATCAAGAAAACCATTAATTTATCTAAATAGTGAATATGGGACAATTTATAAATATTTAAAGTATAAAGTCACGTGTACTGCACTTTTACCAGATGTGTTTCTAGGCGATGTGTGTGTATGTGAGTGAGTGTGCGATTTTTTTTGTTTGAGTTATAACAGAAAGAGTAAAAATGAAGTAAAAAAACTTGGAAAATTTCTGCCGAAGAATTTCTATAGAAATATTTAAAAAAAGATCAAATTCTGCTTATTTTTTCCATAAAAAATGGCTTTTATTGGACATTTTTGATTAAAAAAACGCGCAGTAAAGCTGGAAAATTTTTCAATAAAACTTCAACAGGAATTCAATTTTTCAGTGGAATATTTTCATTTTTTGATGAATACCTCAGAATTCAAGCGAAATACCCAAATTCTTATTTAAAAAATTGATCAGCTGACCCCTTTTTGCTCAAAAAAGTTTTATCATCACCCTGGGATATCTTGATGGCGAAAACACCTGATCTCCAAGTAAAATTCATTTATCCAGTCAACTACTTTTCTCCTGAATTAATCCACAAAATTAAATACGCTCAAAGCATAGCAAACTCCAAACAAAAAAATGCCTACAACTACAAAAAAAAAGAAAGAAAACAAAAAAATGAAAAACACAATGAAATCACAACTCCAAATTTCCCACTTATCACTCAGAAAAACCCATTCCTTAATTCAATAAACTCAAGATAAACAAAAAATTGAACGAAACCATGAAACGCTGCTAAACCCATCCAATTAATTCATAAAAACAAAACGAACGGAAAATTTGCAACAGCGACATCACAAACGTACTAATTAACCCCTCAATAATCGGTCCCCGCAATTAGAATTGCATGACTTATTAAAATCAACTCGAAAGAACACTAAAAATTCCACGCTTATCGGGAAAAAGCGAGGTTAACCAAAGGGGAATCTCGCGATAGCATGCTCCGGTAAACCATAATTGCACAAGAGAACAAAAATCAAATGCAAAGTACCACAAAACCTCAACAAAACTGATCACCGAAATTTCCAGCAAAAATGTTTTACCCTTTCCCTTGAATCTAACATATTTTCACTCTCCCGAATGATCTCAGGCGTGCACGTGAAGATACTTGATTGGTTCGGACGTTCGGAGGCTCGACAACGAGTTCAAGGTCACGACAAACGAGCGAGAAAAAAAAAAAGGAAATTAATGAGCGTAAGTTGTTGCGCGATGAACGATCTTTCCTCTTGCGATGACTTTTAAATTATGTTTGTATTGAGATTATTGGGGGCTCCTCTAGGGCCACGAGTGCGTGAACACGTTGAGCCGGTGTCTGAGATGTTCCCCAGACACAAAACAGCGTCATTAAAATAGAAATGAACTCGTCTGATGTATTTTTGGAGTTGAACCAGAGGTGAATATGAGAAAATAGGTGATTTATGATAAAATACCCCAGAGTTATCACTCAAATCATCGGCACTTGATCCTTGATTACTAGCCATTTTTATTATCAACTCAACAAAAGACGCAACAAAAAATTGATGAATTATTGGATTCGAGTTAATGCACTCGAGAGCTACGAACTACGAACTTGGAACTGTCAGCAACTATTCCGAACTAAACGCTTATCTCTTGACTCTGGCTTTTGAAGATCATCGGATTGTCATGACACTTTGGATGTGTGGGAGAATGGAGGGTATGGAGAGGCCAGTGGGATCTGAGGCTCAACGAGAATATGATCCACTGTAATTTATACGAATTCGGGTGGGGGAAGTACTCCTCAGAAGGCCTTGTTCGCTAGCCGTATCTTGTTATTTATTATTGTTCATTTTTATTTCTTTTTCGTAATCGCTGAAATTTGCGTTTTGGATTTTTTGCGTTATGTCGACCCATTTATGATCCAAAAATCAGAAAATGCATTTATATGATTAAGTTTTTCTTTAATTATTCGTTAATGAATCGACTGAATTCCATCATTTTTTTTCGAATATAAGTATTGTCGTGCCCTATCCATCGACAGTGATTAAAATTTAATTGTTATAGTAATTTTTAGAATTTTCCAATTTTTCAAAAATTGTTTTGCGATAAATAAAAAAAATCTTCTGAATGAATTGATGAACGAAGACCGAAAAAGAATGTTTCGATGTCCTTTGGCCGAGTTAAACGGTGAAGGCGATAATAATAATCATTGTTTTGATTTATAGAATAAAATTTCAAAATTTTGTATTTTTTGAAGACGTTGAATTGCGGAGATATCTTTGGACAGTATGCGTAAAATTAATTAAATAATTGCTTAAAATATTTGTTTCAATGTCATCCTGTTGCAGTTAGAAATAATTAATTTCATTTTTTATAGAGATTTTCACAAGAATGTCGAATTTTTCTAAAATTTCTATGAAAGTAAATTCTTCGACGATTCCTTGAAAAATAATATTTCAAATTTAGTCAGTTATTCGTGAAACTATCACTTTTCTAATATCATTTTATCGAATTTTCACGATAATATAGATAACATCATTCTTTCATTTCAGTAGCGAAACGGTAAAACGATTTAAGGGGGTATTTTCATGACGGCGGGCAGAAAATTGACATTTTTCCCCATTTTTTTTCTCATAGGAAAAAACAATAAAAAGAAACTAAATTTTCCGGATTTATTTATCAACATGTTGACACCCATTTTTGAGATATGCATCGCCAAACATTCAATTTTTGTGTTTTTTCCATTTTTGACGATGTATATCTCGAAAATGGGATGGACAAGGTACTTGAAATTTTGGGAATAGTTTTTGAATGTGCTCAACTACATATGATCCAAATATTGCGTCTTTATACCATTTCGAAATTTTCACCAAGTATACTTACTGCGGAAGTTCCTTAAGGTAATTTTCACCGCAATATTCTACCATTTTTTTCCATTGAGCCAGAGCAATTCAAACAGAAATTTAGAAGTTTTATTTCAATAGTACTATATCACTTGCCTTAATATAATACAGACTTTTTTTTTAAATTACCTGTTTGTGTTTAAGCAGTTTTTTCACTCAGCTATTCCAGCGCCGTATAATAGGCCTTCTTCTCCTTCGAAATTTTTTTTTCGTTGCATAGCTTACTGTTTCTTCGTGGTTCTGGCTTCTTTAGAAGCGAGGCAGGCTCTCTGCTCTGAACGGGCAAGACGCTCTTGATGAAAATATTCATTTTCCCAATGAATATTTGGCAAAAGTAATTTTTTTTCTCAGTGCACAGGCAGAACCGAAGGCGAGGTACATTATCACACTTATGAGGAAGGACATTAGGAAGCATATTCCATATGTATCGTACAATATTTTATGTCGCGCCGTGCAATAAGTCGAGTTTATCGCACGCTGCGCTTCGCGCAGCCTGCTCAAAACTCGACTTCTGCACGACTTGACATAAAATATTATAGAGCACTCGGTAATAAATTTCGTTTTCAACGAATGTGTGTACAGACCTCGCTTTCGGCTCGACCTGTAAACTACATATTCATTGAAAACGAAATTTGTGCCCTTGTACTCTAATGTACTATTATGCCACTGGTGCGAAAAACGCGGTTCTTTGCCCGCGAAGCGTGCAAAAAAGTGCCCGTTTTTTCGCTCGGATCATAAACCATTCTACCGCTTCGCTACTGATTTGATTTATACAAGAATTTTCACAAGAAATCTAACACAATTGATTAGAGAAGAAATATAATTCAACTGAAGAAAATAATATAAAATGATAAATGATCACGTACGAAAAAATCTAATAGAAAAACCTAGCGAAATCGCTGGAAATTCTACTGGATGTCGATTGAATTTGTTACTGGTTTTTGGCCGATTCTATTCAAATATTGAATAGAAAATATTCTACAGAAAAAGTCAATAGAATTCGATTTTTCTATAAGATTTATTCTATTGAGATATTTTTTGTAGCATTTCCTCGGCTCAAAATTTCAGTTTTTTCGGTTAATTTTTTTTAATGAAAAGATTAAACGTTTAAATGTTAAAGAATAACATTCCCATGCTACTCCTATGTTCTATAGGAGTGCGAATGCGGTGCAGTGTAGAATCCACAGCTGCATGCATAGGGTTGGATAGGGCCGATTAGCCAATCAGAGGGCAGAAAGGGCCGGAATATAAAAAAAAAGAAAAGAACAATATGAAAAAAACTTAGAAAATTTGAGCCGAGGAAATTCTGCAGAAAAATCCAGTTCTATTGACTTTTTCTCTAGAATCTGTTCTATTGAACATTTCAATAGAATCGGCGAAAAACTAATACAAAGTTCAATAGAAATCCAATAGAATTGTCTAGCGCATTTGCTACGGTTTTCTTTTGAATTTTTTCGTGGGTGATCCATGATAGAAGAAAATGGTGTGCAAAATACATTAGCAAAAATAGCTATGTTATGTGAAGACAAAAGAAATTTCGCGCCGTTTATGATTAAGGAACTTCCGCAGTAAGTATACTTGGTAAAAATTTCGAAATGGTATAAAGACGTAATATTTGGATCATATTGTTGAACACATTCAAAAACTATTCCCATAATTGCAAGTACCTTGTCCACCCCATTTTCGAGATATACATCGTCAAAAATGGAAAAAATACAAAAATTGAATGTTTGGCGATGCATATCTCAAAAATGGGGTGGACCAGGGACTTGAAAATTTGGGAATATCTTTTTAATGTGGTCAACAACATATGATCCAAATATTGTGTCTTTATACCATTTCGAAATTTTCACCAAGTATACTTACTGCGGAAGTACCTTAAGAGATGTAATTTGAAGGTTTCAAGTGGCTGTGTCATGCACTTTTGAGACTGCTCACCTGTCCTGTTATTGCAATATAGAAAAATCATCTCAATAAAGCGTCAATCACGGGCAATGAGTTGCGAGATAGTTCAAGGTCCCCGTACATTTGTGTTTTTCATTTTATTTGATTCGGTATTCAGTTATGAATAATTAAGATTCTCCGGAATTTTTTGATTGTTCTTGTTGGGAGAAACAGTGAGGGTTAACGAGTTATGTTCCTATCGACGCGATGTAAATGTATGTTCCATGTTTAGTAGTCAGATTAGGTATTCGGATTGGGTGATTTGTTTTTTGATTGAGCAATCGGCATAATTTGCATGAATGATTATTAATTATTTCGAAGGAATTTAGAACAGCGAACGCTAGGTGGAAGCAGCGTTGGGTATCTGTCGATAACCGCAGTTTTTTACATCACATAAAAACCCCGCAATTTACATAATAAATTTCAAAAATGTAAAAAACCAGCCGACGTTACCTTTTATCGTAAACCGTGAAGCTTCGCAAAGATTATACCTCGCAAGGGTGATAAATCACAAGGTTCATACCTCGTAAGGGTCATATGTCTCGAGGGTGACACCTCGTAAGGGTCACACCATGTAAGGGATGAATTTTACAAGGATCAATCTCATTGTTTATTGATCGCTATTGAATTCGTCGCGTCATCATCTTTCATCTTGACATTAACGTGTTTCATTCAGCATTCTTAAATGACAAAACTAATTCAATTGTCTTTGGTAGCTTTTTTGAACTCAGAACAAAACGGTTCTTTTCATTACGCTGTGCGAAAAAGTAAGTTTTTAGGCACGCGAAAACCTCCCTTTTCCACACATTGTGATGAAAAATATCGTTCGCCCTGGCGGAAAAGACTCCTTGAATCCTATTTAAAAAAATATAGTAATCGGAAATAAGGATGTTATTGCTGTTTTCCGATTAAGGTAAGTAAAGTATCGCAGAAGCAGGTAGAACCGAAAAAGAATAGGATATGAGAGGGGACCCCTTAGAGTTCTCCTTAGCTCGAGAGTGGAAATGAAGGGTATCTATATGGTCCAGAGCACTAATTGAGAATTGTTTTGAAGACTATTTAAGAAGAAAAATAATAAGGCACGGAAAAGAAGAGGATTTAACAGGAGCATTTTCATTTCCTAAGGTGATAGGACAAACGCTCATTTGAGGGAAACCTAATAAGTTTTAGGGGGGAAACCCCTCATTTCCTTTTACATAATGGATCTCTCATTAGGCAGAAATAAAAATAGAATCCTGTTTGTTCTATTGATTTATTGCTAGTTGAGATCGATTTTTTAATAGAGAAATGATGAAAAGATAAATCACGGGCGACTGAAAATAAAGGGTTTTAATGTGAGCATCCCTCTTTGGGGAGAAGAACAAATTGCGGGTGAGCAAGAAAATGCACTGCGATTTTAATACAAGAATATTTATCAGGCATACGTTTTTATTTCGTCTGAGGGGGCCTGTTTACGAACAGTGCGCTCAAACGTGTCTGTTTGTACTGAATAAAGATTGGTGTGCATTTGGTATTTCGAAGATTATCCATTACATAATCGGTCTAAAGGTACCCTAGTGAAAAAACATAAGG